CTAAGTGATTACAAATAATTTAATTGGTCAAATTAAAAAATAATAAAATAAATTTTTAGCATCGCAATGACAATACGTCAGAATCTTAAGCGTTTGAGAGAAATATCAAACAATATTTATGACCTCAAAAGTTCTCATCAAACATAGACGAAGTAGACAATTTCTAAATATTTTTACAAAGTCTAAAAGTCAATAAAGTGGGTCAATAAATCATCTTTAGCGGTTGTAACTTGATAGAGTAGAAAAATGGCGACTTTGTAGATTTTTGACGATTCCAACAAACATAAGCTGAAAGAGGGTGAGGCATATCTTAAGAAGCTTTATCTTCATGTTTGCATAATAAGATAAAGCTCTTCATCGCATCTAGTACACTCTTGAAAGGTGATGATTTATTTGTCAATAGATTGTCCTCTTTTTGACAATAACTTGTTTGTCGATCAATTTAAGATAATTTATTTGATAAATTTGTGATCCTTTTACCTATAGCATCGTTCAATAATTGTAATAATAATATTTTACGAATTGTGATGATGCATTTTTTATCAATAATTAAGTAATTTTTACTACTTAATTGTTCATTGACAATTTATAGGAAAATTACGATTTAATTAAATAAAAATATGAGTTTTAACTCTAGTAAGATTCAAACCCTCACTATTCATCCATTTGTATGAGAGAGAGTAAAATAAGTATACAAATACCCTTATAAAGTGATGTCATAAAGGTATATTTTTTTCATAAATAAGAGGTATTTTAAGTATTAAAATTTTTGAAAACCTTCTAGGAAGTTATGACCACCAATTTAGTCCCATAGAAGTTATTTGTCAAGTTTTGAGATGGATGTATAGTAATATGAGATTTGATTAATGTGTTCTTTTTTTGTGTGTGTATAATCGTCCCTTGCCTTACACCTAGTTGTCACTAGTGACGTAGAAGTAGAGTGACATGCATTTATCTCCCACATGTTCCCTAGCCACTTCACCCCCTTGATCACAACTCCACTCAATTGTGCTTTCAACCTACTTGTGGGCCCGATTGGCTAATGTGTTTTCTCATTTTTCTATCTTTTTATTTTATTAAATTTTTCTTCATTTATCTCATAATAAGATTAAAAAAATTATATAAATTCATATAAAATCACATAATCAACCAAAAGTTCACATTAGGTTGACTCTTGGCTTAGAAGGAACTGCACACTAATGACATAACATATAAAATCAAATATATTTAACCTTTTGTGGGTTCAATAAAGAACTAAGAAATCCAATGACTTTGATTTATTTATACCATTCGATCATCAATCATTGTTGGGTCGATTGGTGAGATCAACTATAAAATACTTTTCACAATTTAACATAGATATATATATATATTATCATGAGTTAAGACTAAAACTATATTATTAATTAATTATTAACTCATGATAATGAAAACTTATCAATAATCATGTTAGTACATATATTAAAAATTTTAAATATATTTGTACCATATAAGTAATAAAATATATCAAATTAAATATAAATTCACCATATAATTTTCAAACTCATATTATTATTTTTAACTTGAATAATTTATATTTCATCTTAATTTATGAGACAATTATTTTTATTTTACCCTAATTATTATAAAAAATAAAATATTATCAATAGTAACATCAAGATAATGTTGGTAATGATAGATGTGATAGAAACAACATAAGTTAGCAAGGTTACCATGGACTGCAACTAAGGACAATAATAGGATAAGAGCCAAGGAGGGCTTGAGATAGTGGCTATTACTTAATATAATAGTCCACCAAAGCAAGGTTATCTCTTCACTTGATTTCATCGTATAAAGTATTTTTCTTCTCTCACAAACTATGGTAAATTGGGTGCTATGGAAGCTCATAATGTGTTGGTTAGGATGGTAGCCCAATATAAAATCCTGTTTAATCATCGAGTGTGATATAACAATGTGAAGGAGGCCAATAATAAGAGTTTACCCAAGGTCATCCACTTAAAAGACATCAATAGATGACTAATGATGGTAATGTTCAATAGTAGGACATCTCACTTGACTTATTGTTGTCACAAGAGGATAGCTGAATTGAGGCTGTCAACTCAAATGGGTGTATCTTAATGTGTCACATGAGAAATCCAATTGTGCATTAGGTTGCAAGAAGATGGCATGGACTTCATGGTACTACTTATGAATGATTTTAATGTCATCTTAGGTACATATTTCTTGATTAGATCTCTAGTATAGACCTTTTTCTAGTGACATGATGTTTTTGGTATAAGATGGGAAAAAACATACTTTGTCTTGGAGAGAAAGGGTCTCACATAGACCACAATTGCTATCTATATTTTAGTTATGAGATTGCTTATAGAGAGGCAAAGATACCTCCCTTATGTTATTACAAGAAGAGCCATGTTAATCCTTAATATAGGAGGCCAGGCTAACATTAATGGACAAGAGTATGTAGTTATTACTATTGTATGAATAGGTGGGTACATCATGGTAAGTATTCATGCATAAGATTCACTTTCAGTAAGCCATCAAGATTGAACAATGGGTGTGTCATGCTAGTGGACAAAGACACATAGGTGACTAACATGTATACTTAACATGTAGATATTAATTCACACTATATTGCATTGCATGTAGTGGTGATAGCATGTGAGCCAAGAGAGCTGATGCATCAAAGCAACTAATTTCAAAAGTTGAGTGTTTGCAGTTCAAGGATTTCATCTATAGTACCTCAAAGATTGCCCTCCAACAAGAAAGTAAGATTTTTCTTATGAAGGAATATGTGATATCTCATTCTTGTAAGAATAAGGTTGTGTATGGGACCTCACATTTGCATGAGGTAACACATGTATAATTGCACATGGAGGTACACATTAATATGGCAAAACACATGATAAAAGAGGTATGTGCTAACACAACACTAGATAAAAGAGGTGCATAAAATATTTATATAAAAAGTTGGCAGCTGAGTACATAAAGACCAAATTACCCCCATCTCCAGCCAAAATCTCCTTTGTATCCTAAATATAGAAAAGTGAATAATTACTCCCAAAAATAATAAAGAATAGACATGTAATTGGAAATTTTTGAAAAAAAATAATATAAATACAAAAAAATATTTGCATGTTATTTCTTCATAAAATCTTGACAAAAATACACAACTTATGTATTACTTGAAAATATCATGTTATCAATTAGCACAACACAACACTACATGACATCAATAGAGGGATGCATTGACATAATGTGACACGATGAGGTAGGCATATCATGTGCACCATACACTTGAAGGTGCACGATGACATTATACATCACTGAGTGGCATGTGCCCCACACATGTATGTCCATGGTACCATATGACGTGTAACAACTTGTGAAGGCTATAGGTAGTATGATGTATCACATGGGTAGGTTATATGGCACATGGTCACCAACTACTATTGTTGTGTTTATCCCATCATTATGAGTGAGGGTGGTCATGGCGGCAATTACACCAACCATTATCATAACTAATGCCATTCCATAGTTGTACGAGGTGGTCATAAGGGCAGGTATAATGGTTGAATGATGTAAAGGCATCTCTATATGATTGGAGGTGACCTATGACAAGGGAAAGAGGTTAACTTTGTTATAAAAGCATAAAAAGCAGCATCTTTTGAGTCCTTATGTGCTTCCACACATTGATGAAGATGGTTGATGTCAATTTAGTGACCATCAAGTATGAGAGAGTAAAGGTAATTTAATAAATAAATTATTAGGACACTCTGGGGTAAAGAAATAAAGGAGTTTTACTAACTCTCTCTCTCTCTCTCCCCCCCCTCTCTCTCTCACTCTCTCTTGCAAGCAAAAAATATTGCATCAAGAAAGAGGCCATCTCTTTTTTGCTAAAAGAGGGTGTCTTTATTGTTAAAAATAGTAAGCCAAAAAAGAGATAATAATGTTTATTTATCCAAAATTTGCGAGCATAAATCCAAATAGGCTTACATTTATATGATTATATTAAAATACATAATATATTTATTTTAAAATATAATTATATGAGAGTCTATATACCTATACAAAATATTAATAGAAAACAATAAATAAAATTTTGTAAACATAAAAAATTAAGGCTATTATAATTTATGTCCAATCAAGAGAGGAAGTCATTTAGTGAAACCAAGAAGAATGCAAGGGCATAGAGGAAAAGTAGAAATTTATTTTTAATGTGGGTACGAAATTCAGAGATCTAAAAATCCTATGTTCTCTAATTTAATTTTCCAAGTATACATAGATGAAGGCAATAATAAACTTTATTATGAAATGCTTTCAAGGCATACTTAAAATAATTAAATAAATCACATATGAAGTAATCATAAAACATTCGTACCCACAAATATATCTACCATAAAAAAAAAAAACAGAGAAAACATCCATTTCCCCTCATAGATCTCCCTTCCTGAAGTGGAAACGAGTCAGAATAACCATCCTGGATGAACGAAAGGGCAAGGTCGAAGAAGCGGTGGCATTGATCCTTTTCTGGAAAGAAACAAAATGTGAATTTCTCAGTAAAAGAGAGCATCCTGTTCGTAAATGAAGGAAAACAAAAACAGGAGCTCATCCTCACGAACTGCTGCAACAAGGAACATCTGAACTCAAGAAGGGTGATTCGGAGGGAAGGGGTGTGGAGTGAATCTGAGGAAGACAAGACTAGTAAATTAGGAGCAACACGCTTATTTAAGTTGGGGAAGATCAGATGAGCACATGACCTAGATATGATGTATATATCCCGGCAAGAGTTCAACACGGAAGATGTCAACTGTTACAACTCACTGAAACCTTCATGGAGATGCCCCGAGGATTGGTATTCCGCCTGTCACTGCCACCGCCACCGCCACTAAGAAAACTGTAAGGAGGCCGAGAACAGGAAGGAGAAGGAGAAGGATAAGCAGAGCCTGAAACTCTCAACTGCAAAACTAGGTCTCCCCGGGGTGGTAGCAAGGTCGAGCCCGTCAGTTCCTTCCAAGGGAGTAGTAGTAGAAGCCCAGGGCCACCAGCACAAAGATGGCGGCGAGCGCAAGCGCTGCCCACTGCCAGTATGGGTGGGCCTTCTTCTTCCTGGGGATGGTGATCTTAGGGCGGCCGTCCAGGCCCCGTGGGCGGCCTCGGACCCTGGGTTTATCCTTCAACTCTCTAGCCTTTGATGGGACCAGGGCCTCCTTGGCTTCATCAGATTCCTGCTCCTCTGCCTTCAGATCTGCCTCAGACTGCTCCTCAGTGGTCTCAGATGCCAGCGTCCCAGCCTTCTTCTTCGCCTTCTTCTCTCTCTCCTGGAAAAATCCAAAACCTAGATGGTTTAGAAACAAGTGTGACGAACAGGGTACATGGAGATCGAAGTCTAGATCTTGCCTTCTGCTTCTTCTCGGCCTCTTTCTGGGCTCGTATAGCTGCCTTCGTGGCGGCCTTCTCGGCCTGCTTCTTCTTCCTCTCCAAAGCCTGCTTAGCCTTGGCTATCTCTTCCTCCCTCTTCATCTCCTTCAGTTTCTTGCTGTCTATTGCCACCGCTGCCAAGGCCGCTGGAGATTTCTCTGGCAAGGTGAAGGTCTCTGCATCGTCTCCTATGCCACCCTTGTCCTTTGCTCCTGACCTGGCCAATTTCTCCCCTTCTTCCTTTAGAGCCTTCTGAGAAGGTATCTGTGGGGATGGAGCAGCAGGCTCCAATGCCTTCAGCTGTTTTGCATCAACATCCCCCTTCCTGCTTTCTGCCAAAGGCTGTTGGGTTTCAGCCTTCTCCGGGGGAGCTGCAACCTCTGCAAGAATGGGTTTCTCATCAGGGTTCCTCATCCTGCCATCCCGGCTCAGCTGTCTCTTGTCGAGGGACAGCAAGATCCTCTTCTCATAGTCTTCTCTGAAGGCTTTGTCTCTGCTCCATTGAGAGATGAATTTACCGACCTGAACAGAAGGTGGGCCAACAAATAAGAAGAGTTTGAGCTTTCTATATGGGGTGGTGGGTGGGTCCAAGGGGATGTGGGAGATGGGGAGGCTGACCTCACTGTTGCTGAGTTCTTCCAGCGCTGCTACATCTTTCTTTGCCGCGAGATCTCTAGCATTGTTTAGGAGTGAGCGGTACAGGTAGTAGAATGCATTCTGAAAAGAAGAGATATGGGTAACTTCAGTCACAGGTCGTAGTGGAAGTACCAGACGAACTCACTCCTACCTAGAGTAGAAGAATGCATTCTGAAAATAAGAGATAATGATAACTTCACTCAAATGTCATGTAATGTATCCGACTTACCCAATTTGATCCCGGTGATAGAATTCATTCTGAAAGGAAGAGACACAGGTAACTTCGCTCAAGTGTTCATGTAAAAATGTTACCAAACTAACCCAATTCAATCTTGGCATTAGAACGCATTATAAGCATAAGAAATCTTCATAGCTTAAGCCGGGACTTCGTCAGTCAATGTGGACTGAAGCAGATCAAGCCCTTTAGTTTCTCGTAGAATATGCATTATAAAAAGAAGAGACACAGGTGTACTCAAGTCACAATAGTTTCAGTCAATGAACTATGAAGCAGAGAGTTGCCCCGCAACTTGAGCATCATAACATTAAATCTAGTCCAAGTATCATATTATTCATCATATTCTTTTTCTCATATTTAAGAACATTTTCTGTGATCATTCCTCTTGAAAATTTAGTCAATGATATCCTTGATGTTTGGCAGAATCACTTAAAGTATATGGGAATCTAATTGGCAAGGTTGAGACGCTTTCAACTGAAATCCGAGAAAAGCCTCATAGATCAATGGGTATCAAATAGGACAACATGCAAACCCAAGAACGGATCTGAGAGAAGTACATGCCCCGGGATGGTATCCATCAGAGATTTGAAAAATATCTCTCTGTTGCATCTACGTGAGAACCACAGGATGACTATCGAGTTTCAAAGAAAGCATAATAAAAGCTCAAAGATGAAGATGCATGTCAGGAAGCACAAAAAAGGACGATAATATTTGCCTCCCCATTGTGTTCAACAACACTTAGGCCTGAGGTGTCACAGAGATAATGTCTAAAAATCAAATAGAATATATATCCGGAATTCTACGATTAGAGAGACATAAATGAAGATAGTCATGTGATGACGTGGTACATATGATTAACCCAAAAGAAAAATATGAACAAAGAGTGTCATACCCCTTCGCTGCGAGTTTTCTTCAGTTCATTGAATGTTTCGTACGACTTGTCCTTTTTCTGGGTAGCCTCAGCCAATTCCTCCTGCAAGGAAGCTATGTCCTCATCTATGGCTTTCAGTTCATCCTCCAAACTCTTTATCCTTGATCTTATTGCCTGTTTTTCCTTTCTCACTCCATCCAAATCAACTCCTATCAGCTGCAAAAGTAGTACAAGATTGAATGAAATCATTTGAAAAGAGAGCAGGCAAACACTTATCTGTATTTCATTTGACACATATCAAGTCAATGAATAAGAAAATGAATCGATAATCACACATTTTATTTTAATCTACAGTTGGCTTCTCCGGAAGAAATAAGTGCCCTTACTTTAACCTGGTCTTGGATTGCTTCCTTTGGGCCCAGTGAATCCTGAAGCTTCGCCTTCATAGCCGCATTGGCAATAACCCTTTCTCTTGTCCCCTCAAGGTTCTTTATGTCTTTAAGCAGCTGCTTCTCCTCAGTTAATGTGTTGCTCTCATGTTGAATGCGATAATGCAAGCTTTTTATCTGTTTTATCACCATAAAAGCGAAATTAGTAAGCACTTGATTTACAAATAGTTAAATATGTCGCATAAACCTAAGAAAATTTAACTCACCAGAACGTCCAGTTCTTCCTCTGAAGAGCATATACCCATGCCTCTCTCTGCATTATTTGCATTACGTAACTTGCCCAGAGCAACTTGAAGAGGTTCCATTTCCTTCCTCTTTCCATCAATAACCGTACGAAACTGCCTGTCCTCAACAGTCAATGGCTTCAATTGTGATATCACTTGTGATCTCTCCGCCTGCAAGGAAGAATTTATGAGGTCAGTGTATTACAGGAAGAGCTCAGTGGCTTATAATTCCAATCATCAGCTCTAAGTAGAACAGCGGCCAGAACACTTTATCATTAAACATAGTGAAGGGAAGAACAAGGGGTTCGGTTCTCCCAGATGTTAGTTCAAGGGCAATAACAGCAGGAAAATAAATAGATTTGAAAAATGAACAATAGCAAGGCATACCCTTTTCTTCTTTAATGCTTCAGTTATCAGGAATCGGTCTTTATTCCGCTTCTGGATCTCCTTGTCAACTTGTTCAAGTCTTGCTTTGAGCTTTGGGTCTTCATGGGACTGGTACTTGACAAAATAAAAAGTATGAATTTTCTGTGGTGCAGGCCACTCGTCAACAGCATCTTTAGGGAGGTTGTCATTTCTAGAATCATTTGTGTCTGCTATTGCTACTCCAACTGTCTCCTGTGTGCTATCTACCAAATCAAAATTTACGGTTTTCTCAAGTTCACATGGCTGATCCAGTTTCCCTGTCTTGTTCTGGTCAGCTGTATCCTCCACAGGCTGGGAAGTGAAATCATCTTTCAAGATCTCGACTCCCATGACTCTGGAAAAGCTTAGCACCTATAGTACCTATAAGATATCCAAATGTACGTAAAGGTCAACAAATAAACCTTCACAGGATAAGAATAGAAATACCATGAGATAGTGAGAAAATTAGGCTTTCGTTTTGCATAAATAACAATATTTTATAAGAGGAAAAGTACAAAATGACGGCACTCTGAAGGATTCTAAACTAAATATAAGCTAAACACCCCATCCCCAGGCTCAATGGAAAAAAAAAAACAATTTTGACAGTTTTCTGGAGGTATCATCATTATAAATATCTCCCCAGTTTCGGGGCAAAAGACCCACTGAAAGTATCGTAAGGTTTCACAAAGCTTTTTAACTGATCGACACGCTAGACATTAACCTGGGAAAAGGCAGTATAACGAAGTTGCTGAAGGTAACAGCCACCAAAAGAGTAATCGAAAATCCAGTGGAGGTTGATGTCAACCCAAGAACCAAAAAGTGCATACCATGTGGTGCACTTATCCAGCTCATACTACCATACAGGGCAATTCCAAGAGGTTCCCTTGAAGTAAAATGGGAAGCCAGATGATGACATACATAGCAAAACTTGAAACAGGAATATGTAGTTTTCTTGGTGACAATAAAGTTGATGAATTTGTCCATGTGATTCTAGAAATGTTGATGTCAACCCAAGAACCAAAAGTCTGTACCATGCGGTGCAAGAATTTGTACAAAAAAATCATGATTTCGATTGCTTATATATTCCATGTAGTTAGCTATCACAAACATTATCTTTTCATCACTCGGTGCCATTATATTGCTTAAAACGCAAACGGCCACTGGTGAAGATAAAAAAGAGAAAAAGTGGGAATTGGGCACCCAAAGAAGCTAGAACAGTTATTACTTGGACCATACGCAGACAAGACTGCCCAGGGTGGGTTCTACAGTACGGGTTTCCAATAGGACTTCTGACAACTTGAATATGACAATTTGGGCTGATCCTCGAAACCATCAACTGGTTAACATCTTAAAAAATATCAAAGGTGTTGCAAGAATTACTCTACTGCCTAAATTCAGTATGTAAAGATACAATACTCCCTGCAAATACTACACTTTTCCGTCACTGCCTTTAAGCATACTATTCCCTCTTCTTACATCATTCGAATGACTATGTTGTAAACGCTTTTTGATTCTTCTAGTTCTCAGTTTTACATCCTCAGAAAGACAGGCCTCATGCCCATCAACTTCCCATCAAGAAAAGGCAGAATATCAGACTAAGGTATGTTCTCTTGTTTAAAAAGAAGAAGACAATAATTAAGGAGAAAAAATTATGGATGTGACGTAGAACAGATTCGTAGAAAATATAAAATGATAATATACCGCGGCTAAGAATACCCCAACAGATAAAAAGAGTAACACATAAATACAGTTGTCACGGTAGCATGTAAGGTTAACAAGTATTCTTCTTTCACGGTAAGTAACTACTTTTTATCTAGGAAATCTTCATGGTTAGACATTTCCTCGTTAAATTCTATTGTCTACTTTCAGCCTATTTAAAGAGTCACATACAATCGATGAAGATGATTTCTTTCAACATGTAAAATTAATTATTTTTATTCCTCTCCATCAACAATCAAAGAACAGTTGTAAACTCAACAGAGCCTATGTTTTCATCCTCATGGACTCAAAGATCACACCTATCAATCCTTGTGGATTCATAGATTTAGAAATTCGTACGCCATAGATTCATGGTCTGATTCCCTCACCAGTTTCCAACGCATTAGGATTTTACTCTGCCTTCATTCAATCCCTCATGGATTCAGAAATTTTTCTGGACCATTCAAAAGGCAACCAAAATCTCCAATTCAATAAGGGAAATCAAAATGGGGAAGAAGACCTTCCTCTGTAACCTAACTCATTTCTTTTCCCAAACTAATAGGAGGTCACTTAGACCCTCTCAGATTTTTTTCTATCAACAAATATGATGACCATTAAAGAAATTACATTGAATGAATTGTTTCAGTACACCCTAACTAGGCCACAAAAAAACTCGCGTAAACTTAGTTTATTAGCTCCTAAATCATACCTATAGCACATGCTCAAATCAGAAATGTTTCAGCACGTCTAATGTTCGTCACTTCAATTCTTGGATTGATAAATGCCCAGATGATTATTTATAAAGTATTAAAGAATTAGCAGTTCCACTCAAATGTACCCCAAAGAAAAAAAATTCGAACTTAGTCCATGTTACACTAAGGAGAAATCGCCAAGTGCTCAGCACGGTAAAGTATATTCTCCATATATTTAAGATACACCTTTTTCAGAGAGCAAGTTAAATGCTAAAACAAATTCGAGCTCATAGATCCCTTAACTGAAAAACAAGGCATAATCAAAATAAATGTGATTTCTTTCAAATATCAGATCTTTCTGATATAGCTCTAACTGAAATATTTATAGTTCCACATTGGTAAAAAAATGCCAAGATGCTCTCCTTTTACCATTCACACACTAATCACATATTTCCATGATTACCTATTCCAACAAACACACTCTGAACTTGCTCCATGACATGCCTAGTCGACTTGTCCAAAACCTCCAATGTGCTAGGACCAATATTGGAGACATAAACTTAAGAATAAAGATAATAATAAATTCTCACTCAAATTTCCCACACCTTCCGTGCTCCCATACTTGACCCACAATTGATAAAATCCGATATCTATTCCTGTGTAGCATAAGATTACGAACTCAATTTTTACTCTTCTGTCGTACAAAAACAGAGAATCATTTCTTTTTATACAGACCCCATATCTACTAGATATGTTTGGACTTTTCTTGAACGTTGACGCCCCAACTTCTGCCTCTTTAGTTCACCGTACAGGGGTCAACAATTTCAAAATACACGATCAAAGGTAGAATAAAGATCCAGGCTAAGGTCAAAACCTTGCAACATGCTACATTGAAGGAGTAGGATACGGCAAGGACCTCCACATCTTTCAGCAGTTCACCTCGTTAAGAATGTGTATATGAATTGAAAAAGAAGTCAGTTGACGTGAAGATCCTGAAAGCATCAAGTAGCACAGTAAACTGTTCTTGCTTATCTAGTTAGAGGCAAGAATTATCACTGATATCTTGTCCCATGGATGTCCAAAACTCAATTGACTGGAGCATTGGCTTGTAGTAATCAATCTAGGCTTCTTTCTTAGTGATGACCTTGCCATTTTCAGAAACTTGTCGGTTTTAGCTCGCTCGTCCAGCTTCCTTCCAGACCAACACAAAGAAGGCACCTATGAGCAGCCAATAATCACCACAACAGAGGGTGAGTAGATTGCTAATCTGTTCTGCTACCGCACAGGATGTGCAGACGGTATGTGATCCCTGGGCGCTGAACCAGATGAATTGGTGACAGATTCCAGGGAAAAGCTAATAATGGAGGATGTAGAAGCCTCTCCGTTTTTCTAATATTTTTATTCGCGGAACTTGCCTAAGTCACCAAAATGAAAACGATTTTGCAACAGTATCGTGAAAAATCAAGCTAGGGCCAGCAAGAGAATTCTAAAGATTGTCATTAAATGCAGATCCCAACTACAGTAGGGATACTATCAAAGCAACATTTGCAGATTTTACTCATACTTAGAAAAGGATGTCAGTGGAGACTCAAATATAACAATACTGGACAAAGCTGGATATATAATTCTTAAAGATCCTACAAAAGGCAAAAGTCCAAACCTGAAGAAAGGGTACAAAACTGAAAACCAGCACTCAATTAGAAACTGATATCACCTATTCAAGGAGAATGGTAAGTACATTTATCAAAATAATTCCATAAAAACTAAAAATGAAAAAAAAGAAAAAGAGCTCCCATTGTTTATAAAAAACCAGCAAAATGATCCTGGACGGGATAAAGGTATAACCATCTAGAATGCCAATAAACCTTAAAAAAGATACATTGCCAGGAGATTTGACAGAACATTCAGATCAAAGGAACTGTATCAAAATCTGATAGAGACATTAAGGTACACGAAGAAGAATAAGAAAGAAAAGGGGGAGAAATCCCAATGATTAAGACATGCGATCTGTTTAATAATACCATAAGCTACATTGAACTCCTCTACGGAAGAAAAAGTATCATCTAACCCGCACAGTAAGTAACAAAATACAGAGTAAAATGCTAAATATCCAGTAGGAATGATGGAAACGAGAGTCAGCCTAACTCGTTAAGTATGTTTGAAGCCATTCATTATCAATGCAAAGCCATTACCATCCTCACAAAAGAGAAAAATGCTTATCCACAATCTTTCAGATGTGGCAGAGAAAGAACACTTTGTTATCTTGTTTCCTTACTTTATAAAGAAAACAAGCACTCATTAATAGACAGTCACCAATCAGAAATATGAAACAAATAGTAGATCCACTATCCAAAGGTAATGGACCTTGCGCACTACATCATTTAAATTTTGACAAGTAGACAATGGATCTGTATTTCATAACGGATCATGATCAGAAGTCACATGCATCAGAACAGGAAATATGGTAAATATTTATCAAAGGAAAGAAGATTAAAGACCAGATTTCGATTTGTGCCAAATGATCGAGAAGATGAAGGTTCCTAATGCGAGATATAGAAACACAAAATTACTCATACAAATGAACTAAAAAAAAGGAGAAAAATCAAATGAATGCATCGAAACAAAAAAAGTGAACACAGAAAATTACATGCACAGAACCTATCCGGGAAAAACTCTGGAGAAACTTTCATGAAACGTTTCACTAGTTATGCGAGCTAGATCTCCTTCACGGTTCTGTCAGAAGGCAGAAATCCCCCGTTTGCTTATTATGCCTGGACAAAACGAAATGGCTAGCTCAATTTCGCGGGCAGAAAACCCATCGCACAGGGGACAGTATCATACACTATGGAGAAAACAGATCCGGGTTAATTAGGGCGTGAAATATACAGATCCGTCCCCTCCCAATTTGACAAGATACCGGAACCAAAGATGCAGCCCCGGGGACAGCAGATCAAGAGAGAC